TTCAGCAGAGTGTGATTTTTAAACTAGATTTTTACTTTTGACTCTCCTGGCAAAGATGCACTCCAGTGTCTTTGCTTTTTTCACTAGTGTATTGTATCTTATTACTTCTGTAGCCGAGGGGTAAAGCCATCTGTCCACCTCCTTTTTCTCTGCACACCACTATCACGCACACAGCGCTGATGAGAGAACAGAGAAACTGGGAAGGCAGCAGCACTTGAGCACTTTTCACACTGGCTTGTCAAAGGAGGCAGAGCTGACAAATGTAAGGTATTTGTCCACTGCTGCAGGATTCAGCAGCGAGCCCACTTGACTCCAGCATCGGGCCAATAGGGTGGCAGGCAGTCGGGTCAGCCGGTGGAAGCGAGTGGAAGACCTGTTAAATGCCAGCTGAAACCATTCACACATCACTTTCTTCTTCAGCAGCATTTGGTATAATGCATTGTGGCGTGCAGATAAACACTTCAGAATACATAAGGACAAATAATAACCGTGGAAAACCTGGGCAGCCATCCATGAAAGTGACCCGTTATGCCATTCATTCAGACACCATCCAGCTTAGACAAGCTTGAGGAAGCACTCTCACACTCTCATACATCAAAGCAGTATATTTCCTTGAACAGACACCTGAACCTATACAGGAAACCCTAAGGAACAAAGGCCAGTTTCTTTCAGAAGAAAACTGTGTCCAGTGCCAACAATACATCATTCGCTGGAAAGGAAATGGATGGAACTGTAACTGCCTGGTCAGTGTGGCGGACTGCATGGATGGACTGAAGCATAAAGAGGATTGTGGAGGTCGATAATGTGTTGTCACATCTTGAAGCCATTGGTGTACATGCAATCTAGACAGCTCAGACTGCTCGTTAGTAAAGGTCAAAACCAGCTTTAAGTATCGTGGTTTCAGACAGTCTACACTTCAATTTAGTTCTCAATGGTCACTTGGCCTCAGGCAGAACAGGGAAATCTGACCATTTTAACATTTCTGGGAAAATAAGAAGAGGTAGACATAATAAATTTGCTTTAAACAAACCACAGGAACCCCGATGTTTATTTCTAGGAACTTTAACCTTTACTAAAATCTAATTTTGACATAATATCCCCCTCCAATAACTTGAATTACAAGCATATTTGTGATGAGCTTTACTTCACTAAAGTTGTTTTAACCTCCTCCATGCTTCGGAAAATTTCTCAGAGCCAGGTTTGTACGCACGGTTGACAAAAAGAACATAAGACTGCTGAGGATGGGGACAGATTTGCACCGGTGTATCTGCCAGGTACATTTTCAGCTTTGCTTCGCACTCTGCGACTTGCTGGTGTAGTGCTGCTGCACAGCAAACAGATCATATCAGTCTGTCTGCTAAAATACACGCAAACAAACACACTGTCACACACACAAAAAAACCTTCCCCTTCTGTCCTCATTGCTGTCAGATGTAAGCTACAATAAATTGACAGCTCTTGTCTAACCCATCTAGTAATTTGGTTTCATACAGATATGGCACTCAACACTTTAATGTGCTCTGTGGATGACTGCTCTCAAGATCTCTGAGGACAGGGTATGAACTTGAGTGGTCACAGCGAGGCTACTAAAGTGAAAGCTGAAAATGTTCAATGGGTAATATCAGAAGCGCAGAACAGTTTAGACTAATCTGTTCATTTGATGGATGGGACATCACTTCAGTTTTCGAAATATCACATTCACAAAACTAGAACAATGAAAACCAAGGGAAATCTAGAATAGAGAAATATAATGAAAAGACAATTTTCTATATCACTACTGTATGTAATGCTAACACATTTTATGCTAATTTGAGGTGTGATGCGAGTGTGACAGCAGTATGAATTAAGAACAAGTGTGAGAGGCGACACCGAGAAGAAGCCTCCTGTGCCATCAAATCAGTGGCAGCTCTCGGGGTATGTACCCAAATCTCTACAAAATAAAAACGAATACCATGGCAACGTGTTTGTGAGGATGATCACATAATGGCTCAGTCACCACTAATTCATCACTGCATTTCATTACTGCTTCCCACTTAAGATGAAATTAGTTTTTTTTTTGTTGTTGCTTGTTTGTTATTTTCACATCATTTCTCTTCAAAATGGCAACTTTTATACTTTAGCCACTTACTTTTTGCCACTCTGATAGTGACGGTATATTCATCTTTTTTCTAAAGCACAAATGCAAACACCACATTAAAGCAGGTACAACAAAAACATAACTGACAAAGTGAAAAACAACACCTGTGGACTCATAATCCAGAAATCTACTGTTCTCTATGTATAATCCAAACAAGCCCAGCAAGAAAACTGAGATCATACTGATCTTCATTTGGCCACAGCACTGTGTATGCCACACTTTCTGGGGGACATCCAGTTTGGATTTCCCTGAGGGCTTGACTTCAAGGTAATGAAATCAATAGGAGAATATAGTCAATCCAGTGACTTGTCCACTGCCACTGCTTTATATATCTAAGAAACTGTTTGCTTGGACAAGCAGATTGTTGAGCAGATTCCAATAAAAGAAAACAGCACAATCTACTCCAACCCCACATACAGCAGACATCAGAAGAGCTACGTTCAAATCTTGTCAAGCATTATTCAGCTTTTCTCCTATGTCAGACCTGTAGTTTGTCATTGTCTGTCTGAGCAATAACCATGCTGTGAAACAGTCATTCTAAAACAAGAAGCCAGTCTCATAAAACAGAATTGTTTGAGTGGGGTGTTCAGCAACTTGAATAGTCAGTCAGTTAGGAAACAGGGGTATTTTATGTCACGTTGTGCAGAAGCGACACGAGGCAAACAAAGAATAACAAAACATTCACTCACACTCGTCATAAGAGGCTCAGCTGAGGGAACTGTAATGCAGTGAGAGAGTAATGAACATGGAAAGGAGCTCTCATGGATTGAGGTATCAAGTGAACCTGACTCTCAGCTGTAATTCAGTCAGAGCCCCCCTTTCCTTCTCTAAAAATCTTTTAGAGCTTTCTTCCACAGCTGGACCAGCTGTCCTGCTGACTGCAACTTAATTGCGCACTTCACAAAGCTGGCAGGTTTTCCTTCAAGCATCGAGTTTTCTGTGTTATTTCCCAGTGCCTTGTCCAAGATATAGCATTTCAGACTTTAAAAAAAAAAGAATTCCAGATGCCCATTTTACATGCAATTTCCAAATAGTTTAATGTGATGAATTTGGCATTTGTGGAACATGCCTTTACTAAATCTTGAAGCTGAAAAAAACCTAAGTTGAATGGGTTCCATTTCATCATTTAGACACAAAACACGATTTCAGGTGTGTTTTCTTTGCAGAATTTCAAAACCTGACAATTTTGGTCACAAAAAAGACGACATACATTTTGAAACCATCCCTTTTCCCAGAAAAGATTTACACAAAGATATGGTAGATGTCTGACTTATCCCATCATCATTTACTGTAAACTCAATATGATACAGTTCATGGAAAAGATTCCATCATCTAACCAAAAACAGTTTGATCATACTGGTGTGCTTGCTGTAAAATGTTTAACTTCATATCCAGGGTTAAATTACTGAACATTTACTGATGAAGCAAGACTTCAATGACCAATAACAATAACAATAATAATAATAATGAAGTAAAAAAAAAAAAAAAAATTCAACAGTGAAAGAAATACCTATAGGGAAATAAACCTATGAGAAACAACATAACTGTGATAAAAATTGCTCTTAGTATATAAATAAAGATAAAATCCCTATAAGTGACTAAATGAAACAAAACAGCTACAAATGGATAAGTCGATTTTCATGTTAGATTATAAAATATGCATTTGCACTCAGACAATACTAAAAGCACAAGACCTTAAATCTGGTGAATGTATTTTATTTTCACTCAAAGTGCCAGTTAACTCCCCCTCGATTAATTTACAGTACATAAATCCTCAACAGTAAAATCCTCATCACAAGGCTCTGACATGTGAATTATGTTTACTATATGTGTTATGGTTGGCTGTGTGTCATTTGACTGGTCAGTATAAAGCATTAGTTCATATATCCGGCCACACACAGCAGCAGCAGCCGCCGTCTGGAGAGCTGCAGCTCATTACCATGGTACCTGAGGCTTAAAGCAGAACTAGGGGTTTCCCTGTGAGAGCGTGAGGGCAAGCTACAATATGGCTCTCAAAGCACCCAGAGAGACATATACAGTACAGCTCCTCTTTTATATGATCAAGGTTTTAGAGACTGTTATTTCCCTCCATTCCTGGACTGACCATTAAACACTACAATGGTATGCTACAAATCCAATTAAGGCTAAAAAGAAAATGTGCCTACATGAAAAATAGATCTTCTCCTGCACAAACAGTGTTAACTATTAAGCAGGGAATGACAGATGGATAAAAAGCTGCGAGGAGATCAGGCAAACAAGCTCTTGAGAGGGAGGACAAGCAGATGGAATCTCCTTCCCACACAGAGAACGAGCTGTGAGGGCTCAGGGAAATTGCGACGACAGAAGGTGAATGGACTTGTAATCATATTCTCAAGGTTGACAACACACGACAAGCGTCACTCTATGGAGACGTCATGTAACAGACAAAGGATTAAAGACACGGGTGTGTGCAGACTGGCGAGTATCGTAAGCACATCTGTTGCACGTCGGGCTGCAGGACTGTGAGCAAAAGTGTACCATGAATAGATCTGTTCAAATTTTGGATTTATTCTTTCTGTTCCTGACAAAATAAGTAAAGCAAGTTTTGATGTGCATTTTATCTCCATGGAATTAAAGTCGATGACAAAACAGCTTTAGCTGATGATGAGATAAAGGGATGCTATATGAACCTGCCGGATGTAGCCAAAACTAGAGCTGGACTTTCTCCAGTGCAACCTTTCTTCCTCCCTCTACTCTCTCTCTCTCTCTCTCTCTCTCCCATTCTCCCTCCCCCTCTCACTTAATCTCGCTGTCTCTCTCTTTCTTTCTCTCTCTCTCTTCACACACTCAGTTGCATACACGTAGAAAAAAGGAGAAAGCCAGAGGAGAACTGCAGCAGCATGATGGGGATATTCTGCCTGCGTGGGCTCTGTTGCTGAGGCGTCCAGAGTTGAGCCACAGTGTGCCTGCGTGTGTGTGAGTGTATGTGTATGCGTGAGTGAGTGAGTGAGTGAGTGAGTGCTGACGCGGGAGGCGAGGAGGAAAAGAGAGGGGTAGTGTTGACTGACTGGGGCTGAGAGGAACCTCACGCCACTGGATCAGAGGACGTCGATGTGCAACAACTACTCGAACTACTACCGCTGCTGCTCTGTGTGCCGCTGCCTGCCTGTCCTCTTAACTTCTGCCATGGCATAGCCTCCTCTTCCAGCTCGCCTCTAATCCACTAAGGAAACGGGCATGCATGGGCACAACCAAGGATCTCAGCTATCGCATCCTTTACATCAGTAATTCACAGTCTGAGGTGAGTTTCTCCTCTCTGCTCTTGTCCTCTCCTCTGTTTCACCCCTCAGACTGCAACTGCAAGAGAGAAAGTCTGTGGGATCTGCTCGCTCTATGGGACTGAGCTTGGGATAAGCCATAGGGAATGTTTTCACTGAAAATGTTCCCTTTCAGTCAGCTGATCAAATATCAAATATGTGTGGCAGATGAAAGGAGATAAATCTCCTTGATTTTATGCTTAGCTGCCTCTGCTGGGGTGAACCGGCTAAGGGGGATTTCAGGCAGCAGCTGTGGAATGTGCTAGTGATGACTTTAAGACACAATTCAGTCAGTTTCAAAAACTTTAAACGTGAAAAAATGTTTTGTTTTTTTTTGCTCAGTTAAATACAAGGGGAAAAGACTCGTCGCCGCCACTAACTGACATTTATCATATCTGGCAGATCAGTTTTCTGTGTCTGAAAAATTATGGTGCAGATTTAACCTGACTGGCTGAGCACACACAGCTAAAACAATGCTTGCGTACAAGGGCTTGCATGATGCTGCATTTCCTGTCAGTTTTTCAGCTGAGTGAGCATTACATAAAACACACTGATATCTAAACCAAAAGAAAAATTGCAGGATTGCGCCAGGAAGCTTTTATCCCATGTATGGGGGCAGCAGTTTTTTGAAGGTGGGTAGCCTGCAGCACAGAGGAATAAGTAATGAGCAGTGGAAATTAGACAGCTGGTTGCATCTGATGAAGGACCTTAACTAAAGACTAATCTAGATTAATGGACTGGCTGAACTCAGCATCTCCTTAGACACTACTGGAACACGAGGATCTGTGCAGGTGTGTGTGCACGCGTGTTATGTTGCCTGGTACTCACACATCTCAACTGTCCTTCAGTTGCCACACAAAATGCACGTCACTCCCACTCATCCCCACAAACCTGCTATCCTTCTCTCTGTCTCCTCTTCAACCCTATCTCACATCAATGCTCTGATACAATCTCCCCTCTGCTCTATTTCACTTTCCACTGACACTGAGAAGAAAGCTGAGGGAAACAGATGAAGATAGATGAAGGGAGAGAAAGAGATATGGAGCTGGAGAAAAAGATTGTCTATGACAAATAATAGAGAGGGTAAGACAAGAGAGGGTATTGAATTTTTTGTTTCTTTATAATTCAAGGGTATTATAAAGTAAATACCTGCTGTCAGACTTATTTATATAATATTAATACAATTGTACAAAATGACAGGGTAGTAATAAAGGTAGGATGTTGTTCAGGAAACAATAACGACACTATCACTTCCCCTTCATTCATCACTGCCTGCGTTTCTTCAACCCTCATGCTTAATTTTAGGAGTCAGTGATATGAGTCTTCAGCAGTAATGTTCCAGGGAGAAAGAAGTGAAAGACAGACACAGCACACACAAAGCATCCCAGCATTCACTCATTCCAAATGCAGAGAGGTACATGAGGATGGAAAGGCAGAACACAACTACAAACAAAGCCTGTAAGCAGAGAGATGTTGTGCACACAACAGAGAGATCTGGCACGGAGGCATGTTATAGAGTTGGCCTGTACAAATTGCATTGTTGTCAGTCTTTTTCTTCTGCAACACACCTGCTTGCCCTAAAACAAACAAATATAGCAGACAATGTGAAGGTGAGGAGCAGTGAGTGAGGGCACAGGTTTTCCAAACGAGTGGTGAAGCGTGCACTCGCCTCCCCTGGCCCGGCTCACTGGGAGGAGTACTCATTCATCCAGAAAACAAATTGGTCTCTTATAAAAGAACGACTGCTTTTGGAGCAAGCCAGATGTTACCTTTCATGTGCTAATAGGATTATTCATTAAGAGTCAGATTTTTTTCCCTGGGAGCACCACAACAACGCCACGCAGCTGAGGTGAATCGCGTGCATCTGTTGTAAAGAGAAGGTGTGTGTAAGTAACTTTGTACATGTGTTGAGTGTTTTGCACCTGATCCCACCTGGGTGTTGCCACTGTGTGCTAGCGTACGTGTGTGTAAAGCATGTGCCCTCCACTGCTTTGCAGTAGGGGCCCAGTCAACTGGGGCTTCGGCAGGCCCAGAGGCAGAAGAACAGAAGCTGAGAAAAAGTGGAGTCTGTGCATCTATACAGTATACCAATTGTTTATTACTATTAGGGCTGCAATTAATTCATTACACTTATCATTAAAAATTCATCTGTTTATTGTTTTTTGATATAACATAGTGCGAAATGCCTGACTCAGTTTCCCAGAGCCCAAGACAACTTGTTTTGTTCCAACCAACAGTCCACAAACAAATTTCAATTTTCATGTATATAAAACAAATCGAAACCCCATAAATTCTTACATTTGACCTACTGAAATGCACAAATGTTTTGCATTTTCCTCACAAATGGCAATAAATTAATTATGTTGTCAAATAAATATGTGAATCACCTAATTGCATGCTTCAAGTTCTTACACACAAGAGTGTGTAAGAACTGATGGAGAATACTGATCTCAGGAGGTAGAGGTCAGAGGCCAGCTGTACTAATGTGAATTCAAACTGTGCTCTCTGTCGTTCAGAAACATGAGAATAAATGTAAACATTAGATTAAACATCTGAAGGATCTTTATTGTTAGTGGTGAAGGCCAAGCGATCTGCTTTGACATGTCAGTGAAGAGCCCTGCATCCTGAGCAAAGTCTTTACTAAACACTTAAAAATAGAAAATCCTAAAATTACAACCTCTTGTCCACAGTTAAGCTGTTTTTTTTAAACCTCCCCCTCCACTATATTGCTTTTATGAGATTCACTTGAGCCAACATGATATATCTTACCTACAAGACAGGGTGGCTTTTGCTGTCTATCTCTTCCCTGGTCTCCTCCTGCTCTTGTCCACGGATCTTTCTCCATGGCTTCATCTTCCCTTTTCATTTATATCTCTGTCTGCTTGACACACATTCAGTTCTGCCCCATCCAAGCACAGTGAAAACACTACATTCTCCCTAACCCTTTCTTCTTCTTTTCCAAACTTTGTGTGCGTGGTTGTGTGTATACTTCTTGGTTAGGAACGAGTAGTAGGAATCTGAGAGCATTAGGGGAGTTCTCTAGTTACCCATCAACTTTGAAACCACAGTGCGTCTAGGAGGCAAAGACAGAGGAGTAGAAGACAGACATGGAGAGAAAGCAACAAAGGGGAACAAAGTGAGAGCAAAAGAACAAAAAAGGAGTTAACAGGATGAAGAGAGATACAGTAGGTTCTGCAGGAAAGGAGAGAGGGATCTGATGCATTCAGGTTAGAACAGGCAGCCTCTGCAGCATATATCTATTCCTGAGGTCTGATCTCCATCTATGTTTTCATCTTCACTGACATATGGACTTTAGGGCTTCTTGAAAATTCGAGTTCTCAGGAACCCATGTGGGTGCAGGCATTGCACACTAAAACAACTAACCATAGCGAGTAACAAAAATAACGAAAACAAGCGCAAGCAGGGATAAATTGAGTAAAAATAATAATACGCCCCATGAAAAACTGCAGCAGACTGCCATATTCCATACTGTGTTGTTTCATGGTAGTAATTTCTAGCTTCATAAACAGTAGGGGTGCAAAAAAACAAAAACAAAAAACAAATCACTGATTACACTGAAAGCTTTGTGAGGCCAAATGAGAAAACGTTAGCTTGAATAAAGTGCACACATGGACACAATAAAAGTACAAAAATGTAATGAGATATGTAATGCACACATGGATTTTCAATACAGTAAATGCTGTGCTTATGGTAGAAACCTAGCATATTCTGGGTGCTGTGGATTAACAGTAAATCTACATTAATCCAGTCACAGTATCAGACCCATGACATCAGAACAAACACCATGTCTAAGTAAATATTCATTACTAGATCCTGGATCTAAATCTGATTGTAACTAGGATTAAAACGAGACGGGGTAAAACATGTTTAGAATTAGAACATTTCAACAAATGATATGTTCCTGGTGTCATTTAGCCATTTTTATAGCACTATAGTACATGGTGACTGTGAGCCAAATCTTTAAAATGGTGCTTGGCAACAGAGCAGTGGCCCATGTTGACTGAGCTACAATTACTAGAAAGACAATCCAGTGATTTCCAGTGCTATTCCATCTTACGGCACTAAGCTACCACTAACTGATAGAGGACTTGCTGCGTTTGCTGTCGCCCTAATGCACTGCACTGCTGTTATCCCTCAACGCTGACCTGTAAAGTCAATCATTATACTATACCCTCGCATCACCCCCTGCACCCAGGCTTACTCACATGCTGCAACACAGGCAGAATATAAAAAACCAAAACAAAACCCACAGCCAAATGACCTCAGGGTGTCTACAGAGTTTAACAAAATAAATTTAAGACTTTTTAAGACCTTTTTAAGACCAACTTATATGAAATTTAAGACCAAGCTGCCAATGAATACGGGCACGTGGATGCCACACACACTACTGAACCTCATTTTGACTTGTTTTGAGGACATTACATCAAAGTTGGATCAGCCTGTAGTGTTGTTTTCCACTTTAATTTTGGGTGTCACTCCAGATCCAGACCTCCATGGGTTGCTAAATTTGATTTCCATTGATAATTTCTGTGTGATTTTGTTGTCAGCACATTCAACTATGTAATGAACAAGGTATTTAATAAGAATATTTCATTCTTTTCTTTGAATCGCTTCCTCAGAACATTTGACTTGGTGATTAGCTGGGCCATGAGTGAACCTGATTTACCCTCAGCTTGCTCTGCCAGTTTGTCTGCTTCTTTTTCAAGGCTGTTTGCCACCTCAGCTAGTACCATCTTCCTCTTTTTGAGCTGCTCAAGGAGGTCTTCTGCAGCTTTTCTCTTTATGCATTGCTCTCCTGCCCCCTTGCCCCCCCCCCAAAGCAGGAAAATAGTCACATATCATCCTCTGAGCATCAACTGTGTCCTCCTGCATATTATCAGCCTCTACCTCCTTGTTCACAGAAAAACCCCTCTTCACTGTTGCTTGGCCATGGGAGAGGAGCAGTAGTTTCTTGCAGAAAGTC